AGTAATTACACAAAACTTTGCAGATACTGAACGTCATAACGCAGGACAGACCAAGCCAACACTTTCTAAGCAACCAAAAGTTAGATAGGTCTTCGTTATACAGACACAAACAAACCAACACAAAAAAATTGGGTTTCTTGAGCATGACATTTTAAACTTCCTGACTTGTTCGGTTTCGTCATCTCACCCACTAGGTTAGTCTTCTAAGAAAGAAGTTAACAATTCTGTACCATACCGTGAGTTCGAACAAGGAGAACAGATTTTTAAGCCGATTAGCAACGGGATTCCAGAGCAACTAAAACAGGCGTACAAGTGGGACAAGAAGACAAAGTACTAGAACGTGGGAACATTTGTAACAACCATTTTTCAGCAAAATAACATGCATGTTGTGACATGCTAAACATATTACGCCCCAAAATACATTTATTTAGAGCTATTGCTTATTTGAAGACTTTTTATTTAGTAGGCCTAGCTGAGATTTCTGTAGAGGAAGGTTTACTGTAAAAGTGAATTTGAAAACGAACTATAAGAACAAAAACAACACACATAACTCCTAGCGATTAAGTATTAACATTTCAGTGAAATTTAGATATATGTTTGTTTCTGCGAAGGGCAAAGCTACACAATGAGCTATCTGCGCTGTGCTCAACACAGAAATCAAACCTTAGCGTTATAAGCACTCAAACTTACCACTAAATACATATACATCTATACAAAACTGTATATCTATAACAATTAATAAGTTAACTTTAATAGTGTTAATTTTCATTGACTTCATTAGAATTCGACAACGTTGTAATCAGAAATCTGAGAGAGATTTATGTTTTAGAATTAGGTTATATCAATTTTTAGTAATAAAAATACAATATACTCTTTTAATATTTTAATGATACTTCACGTCTTATAATATAGGAAAATAGAAAGGTCCTGAGTTTTTAAAAAAAAAGTCACTCTTTCGATGTCATTTCTGAATTCAAATGAACTGCACGTGTCACTCTTTCGATGTCATTTCTGAATTCAAATGAACTGCACGTGAGCCACTTGATTTACATTACAGTAATGTCATAGTACAACGTGAAAGTTACTCGATAAATTAAAAAAGAAAAATATTTTGTAATAAATGTAGCCACATTTACAAGTTCCTTTTACGAAACCGCATATTTAGTCTTAAACTAGTGTTGTTCTTTCGCGATAGCTTGGTAATAGTTAATAAAATGTTAATAGTTAATGTTTTAGTTAATAAAATTTAAAATCTGGAATTTTGCAAGAAATAACGTGCACGCGCACATACTGCCTTTCTTAAAAATGAAAAGAAAGAAAGAAATGAAAAATAAAAATAATTTCCGACATAATATAAAGAATAATTGAGCTTATATTTATAGATTCTAAAATATTGTGTTTCTGTGTATAAATCTCAATCTTCTAATTTGAAAGGATGAGTTTGTTTGTTTTGAAGTTAAGCACAAAGCTACACAATGGGCTATCTGTGCTCTGCCCACCACGGGTATCGAAACCTGGTTTCTAGTATTGTAAGTCCGCAGGCATAACGCTGTGCCACTGTAGGGCAGCAGGATGATAAATAAATCCGCAGGCTCAGCGGTAAGCTTCAGGGCTTATAACGCTAAAATTCGGGGCACAGCTTTGAACGTAAACAAACAAACGGTTAGACGTAATTTTATGATTATAACGTATGTTTTATTCTTACAAACTCTGCTTTCTTCCTTATTAATGGCTAGGATAGAATAGCAGTGTAAAACATACTTCAGTGACTGGACACTAAAGCAGTTTTTATTTGTAAACATGATATTCTATTTTGCTGCTGTGAAGCGTTTTTCAGGTTCCTAATTACACTGACTTTTGAAAGTTATTTGAAAGTCACAATGAGAAGATTATGATGAAGAAAATGATCGAATTGATATTATTAGTTATCGATAGCCAATTTTCTATAACTTAATATGTTATTTACTAGCTATATAGGATAAATCACAGAAGAAATTCATTATGCCAAAAAATTTTCATTAATACCTTTACATAAACTTGAACCCAGGATACACGTGTTTCTATTACGGCCCATTAAGGATGTACACGTGTTTCTATTACAGCCCATTAAGGATGTACACGTGTTTTTATTACGGCCTATTAAGGATCTACACGTGTTTTTACTACGGTTTACGGTTCCATTCATGACATCTTTTTTTTTTAGTGGTCAAAACACACACGTGTATTTATTATGAGCGGTAGATTTGCAACAAATTCATCTGACCACCGTATTTACACGCAAATAGAACAAAAAATATTTAAATTTTATGAAGACAGTAAGTATCGTATATACGTGACCTAGCTAGATATAGTAATACAGTAAGTTTTAATGTTACAAAATTGAGCCAAAGTAGGAATACGTTTCTTTAAATTTTAAGTAACTCATTTTTTTTTGTAGTTTTGACTATGTTGTTTCAATATTGTTTCAAGCATTAAAACTTTCTATATTACTATAGCTAGCTAAGTTATGTATATATCGATCTCTACTTGTCTTTATAAAATTTAATTTTTTTTATTCTACTTGTTTGTTTCCTTTTTATTAGCTATATTTTTGTGCGCTAGCAATACCAAGCGTGGGATGCGCGTATACCCGATTCTATTTTATTATTATCTGAATCTCTACCAACCTACACTCTAATCTAACCATATGCCCAAAGTAGCGCTTCGTCCGTGTTATATATATATATACTAGTATCCTTTTCGGTACAAGCAGAGAATTATTGGGATCACAGACAGAAGAGTTCTGTGAAAGAATTACAGCAATAAGGTTCATCATTTTTTCTGTACGTTTGTCTAGAAAAGTCAAGTCACTTACTTACTTACTTAGATAAGAATTTGTTGAAATAATGAAATTTTCACTCCATAAACACGCATATAGCGATTTGAGCGGCTCCATAAGTACAACAAGCCAATGCTGTGAAATAGTCATTGTTAATATTCAGATATTTTATAGGTTATCTAATACGGGTGATTTTTATGGTCGCCATTTTGTTTCATCACGATCCCTGCTGTTAAGCACTACTGTACTTAATGATATTATTTTCGTGCTACTTCAAAAGTATATCTTTCAGGTTCTAAAATTGTAATCAGAGTTCTTTACAATAATATCAGGGTACTTAGTGTTTTAAAGAGTGCAAAATTATAAGTCTGCAAGCCCAGGTAACTTTTTTCATATTGTTTTTGTTGTTTTTCTCAGAGTTTTAGATTTGATTTTGTTTGTTTGTTAATAAGCACAAAGCTATATAATTGGCTAGCTGTGGTATGTCCTCCACAAGTATCGAAATTCGATTTTAATGTTATAGGCCCTCAGACATATCGCTGAGCTACTAGGGGTCATTAAGATTGGCAGAATGCTTATCTTGTTTTTAAAAATACCAAATGGAATTTTAAATAAATGTTGTTGTTTTGAGCGAAAAGCTACATAATGGGCTATCTGTACATTTCGAGGAATCGAACCCCGGACTTAAGAGTTGAAAGTCCATAAACATACCGCTAACCCACAGTTGGTTTCTAAATCATCGAGCTTCTAAACAATTCATATGATTGAATGCTTCTTTTTTGTTTCAATGAAACAAAAGAAAACATTTATAGCATTTTATGAGTAAAGAAGTACCAGGTATAAATAAGAGTTAACTTTCCTATTCTTAGACACCCGATTATTTTATTGTTGGAGAGAAATTTATATATGTATATATATATATATATATTTAACTTATGTTATATAACAACTTTATTATTAGCGCAAAAATTCAAAGACAGGAAAACAACGTACTCCAATACCGCAAACGAAAACCTATTTGGATTATTTAGGTTTATAGTTAATATCTTATTAGAAAAGCTTTGATTTTAGAAACAGTTTTTAACTGGATTCAAAAATTCATATTAAATTATTTGAGAATATAATATTAAACGTTCACTTTTGATTTATATTACTTATATGATATAGGTGATTCGTAAAATTCGTAATTGAAATAGCTTCATTATAAACAAAATATATTTCACATATTTTTATTAATATATATGCTTTGGCTATTAACAGAAATTCCACAGAAAAAACAAGTCAGTCCAATTTTTCTGTTCGAGCTAGTACATTTTAACAAACAAACTATATAAAGAATTTTTTGGGTATTAACCCAAAAATTTTTTATAAAGTTTGTTTGTTTGATGGTAAAATAAAGCTATACAATAAGCATTCTGTGTTGTGCCAACACAAGGATTGAACCTCGAATTTTAATTTTATAACCCCTTAAAGTTATCGCTTAACCACTGGAAGAACAAATATACAACTGACCATGTGTATGAATTATTCAGAAATATAGTTTCTGGAAATCCGTTTGACGGTTCCCTGTATTGATATTTTATTATAGAACCATCAATAACATGAAACAAATAAATTGGAAAAGTTATATTCATTCTTATTTTATTTTCTTATATATAACATGCATAGCTTTTTTTGTCGTACAAAAACTGTTTTTGATGGAGTTAAAATACAAAAGCTAGAGTGTTCTTACACAGGCAGTTTCGATGACCTGAAGTGATGTCACATTCCTGGCATGTAGAACAAAGAACGTAAAATATTCTTGTTATCAGATTCTTTTATCGACCTTTAGTTATTAGCAAAGGTAAGCCACGAGGTCACTCTGAGACAAAAAACATCAGGTAGAATTAGCTGATTGTCTTACACGGAAATCTCAGAAGTTAATTAGAGAGAGAGAGAGGAAAAAAAAGGTATTCCACTGACATTCAAGAGGCGAATTACTCAATCTGTTGACTGCTAAAACGCGTTTTTCAATCACAATGGAATTTTGTCTTTCTAGCAGTGACAGAAACTCTGAAAACAGCGCCTTAGAAGATAGTCTTTGTGCCTTGACCTTCCTAAAGGAGACAATACCAGGAAAGAGCTCGCTACCCTTATCAAAGTTTGCCCCCTCTCCCTATGACGTAGCGAATAACAACTTAATTAACTTCCTTAGTATAAAAACAAAGCTAGCTCATATTTTGTCCATTCTTGTACATTTTGCTCTGTTTGTTAATGTCTAGAAAAAGGATATGAAGAAAATTGAGAAAATTCTAATACCCCTAATAGTTTAATTTGTCACATTATCGAACTGAGCAAACCGTTCTGGAGTATATTTTCGTAAAATTCTTGTTTATGCAAACCTCTGTTGTCTTATTCAGATCGCTTCTAACGGAAACGTAAGTAGCGCTTACAGTCAACATTAATTCTATATTCTCTAGTTTATTATCTTTGGTTGCTGACAATTTTATGTAGTTACCTCTGATACCTGGCGTTGTGGTGTTAAAAAACTATAAACTAAGTTAGAATAAAAGCATATATTTACATTGAGTAATACAAACGTGTTTTTGTATGATTTGGTCTTTAATAATTGTAGAATATTTGCAAGTTTTGTTCAAATGTAGAAAGTAAAGAAAGTATTTTGTGTAAATATATAATGGGAAACATGATACCACAAGAACAGAATAAGTTGAACTCACCTTCAGCTTATTGATAATGAGGTATAATGTTTCCGAGATGTACTCATTCGAAAGTCCTTCCCATACGTTTCCAGATTAATGGTGATTGTTAAAACAGGAGGATATAAGATTTTTAAGTTATACGAGAACATAGATACTTTAATTTAATTGGAAAATGAAACTCTCCATTATCTGTTCATATCAGATAATTACATAAATAATTATCTGTAACTAAGTAAAGGCATGATATTCTTGGCCTCAATCCCAAACAAGCCTGGAAACAAAACTACTAACAATTGTACTTTCATATTTCTAAAAAAAAAAAACATTAAAAACACAGACAAAAAATTGTTGGTACACCCTAAGATAATTGGGAAGGATAATAGGGAAGAGACACGATGAATATGACTTAAGTATCTAAAACAAAACGAGATTAACGAAAGATTAGGAAACGTTACCTCCACTCAAAGAGTATGGAGTTTTAAAAAATACAACTTGTTTAGTTAAATATTCAACTTTTCTGTTAACTTTAAGTAGGCATCTCAAATTCTGTAAAGGTTTTCAAAAATATCTTCCAGTTATGGATTTATATCAACTTTAATGAACAACATTATAGAATCTTTATAATGAAATTTGTAAGACCTTTTTCTTTTAAAGAAATAGAAATAGGAAAGGTACATCGGTGACGAGATTTTACAACAGATTGTCCAAAGTCTGTTCTTAATGTACAGCAAATAGATTTTAACATAGAGCTGTTGATTTGAAAAATACTGTCAGAAGAATGAAGAAAAGTTGGCTTTCATAAAATATGTATGGACTTTACATACATTGATACAGCATAGAAACACAATTTGTATATATTTATAAACCCTAATTTGTTATGGACAGATATTATTTATAACTTGCTTTGTCTATTACAGGCATATATAAACAATATTTCAGTCATAAGTCTTTTTAAACGAGTGAAGCCAGGATTCTGTGCATTATGTATTGTATAAAATCCGGGAAGATTCTCACTTGAAGTAAATGTAAGATATATAATCCAATGAGCATGATTTACGTCTGAGGACCTGCTTCAATTGGTTTTGCTTTATAGCAACTTTCTCTAGTTGCATGTAAAGAGCACAATGTACAACAGCTAAGTGATACTTATAAGTTGGTCTAGTCAGAATCTATCTTAAAAAAAAAGATTCAAAAATTTCCTATCTGCCAAACAGTTTGAGAGAGGAGGATTAGATACGTGGTGCTTTATATGGTTCAGCCCCACCCACCAACCCCTCACACTTTCCCACTGTTAGTTGTTAAGTCTATATATTTTATTATATAGACTTTCTTTCTAAATGTCTATGTAATAACCAATAGTCTAAATCTACAATATATTGAAAAGTTATCCAATTGACATTTTAATGTTTTTCTAGCTTTACCAGCAAACCCTAAAAATATAAGTGTCAATATGACAGAATTAAATGATTGACCAGTAAATGAAATAGATACATAGATGACTTAATAAATGCAAGATTCAAATAGGTTTGATCTGTAGCGAGTTTAGTTAAACCGATGTATTGTAGCTGTTATGTATTCTAGTAATTAACATAGCAATATTTTCTATAAATAGGGAGAAATGGCATTGAAGACCCAAAATTTCTGGTTTTATCTTGTTTTCTTCTACTTAGCCAATCTTGCTCTCCTCATAGAAAGTTCTGGGGAGAGTGAAAAAATAAAGAACTCTAGCTACAAGGTAGGAACATGATTGTCATATAATATTTTTATAAAGACCTAATCAGAGACCTCTCCTGGTGTATTATCAAAACAATGTATTTTACAGTGTTATCCAACAGCTCATTCATTATTGTTGAAGAACATGTTAATAATCATACTTTCTGTAAACTACAAATTAAATGATAAAAGTATTAATTAATCTACATTTTACGTGCATGAAATGTTTTCAAAGTTTTCAGTATAATCGAATAAGTTAATGTTATTGAATTCTTTTAAATAAATTCGTTTAATTGAGCACTTTCTCTTCCACGTAGGTGATATTATTTCTGTTTTGGAGGCCTTTTTTCATAAGTTCAGTTTAAAAAATTGATTCTAATTAGTAGATGTATCACTACCATTCAAACTTACCATTGAGCTAACGCGGGGGGGGGGAGTCATAATATTCGGTAATTTAACTTGAGATGTCCTGTCAAAATAAATAAAAACTGATTATAACAAAAAGCATTTAAAAATAGTTAAAGCATCATAATTCTTTGGTAGTCGTATTCTTAATATTTTGAACAATATCTTTGTGTTTTCTACATTCTCATGGTAGTAGTAGTGGTGGCTAGTAGGAGAGTATCCCTTTTTACTAACTAAACTCGTTCTTCAGGTTTGGATGCACGTGTTTGTCGACCTTTGACGTGTTAAAAACGATTTTTCTGGAGTCATCGTGCTTAATGTAATATCAAATCTATATAACAAAAAAACTTCTTATGCAATATTTCCACACAAAGCGTGGGTTTTAGATTCCGTTCACATTTTTTGAACTTCCAATTTAGTTAATGTGAATAAAGCAAATTATAAAGTATTTTATAACAAATTTACCAAGAATTGTACTTATAGTTTAAACTACCAAGATATCAGTCCATCGTTATTCCTAATTATCAATGTGGTCCTGATTACAGCAATGTTTTTTGTGAACAATGATTTTCTGTTATAGTTTATGTAATAATTTAACACACATCTACTAATAAGTGGTTTTCTTAAATCAGAAGACTGCACGTTCAGGCTGGCCACAATCCGTGGGACCACCACCTGCTCTACCTCGGCCACTTGCTCTTCCACAGCCTCCTGCTCCTCCTCCTCGGTCACAATCACCGAACCAAGTTCTGACCTCTAACGGTCCACGTGCAGATAGTAAGTGCATTGTAATATCTTTATAAACACATTTACACTTTTCTTAAGTAATAATTATCAATATAAACGTTTATATGGTACTCGCATAAAATACCCAAGCTCCGATGCGGAATTCAAAGATCCCCTTATGATTCACAGAGGTCTCAATGTACCGATCAAGCTTTTCCATTACCCCCAATCTATTCTGTAGCTACCCGAAGTGGTCCGTAGCTGAAAAACAATAACAAACACTTATTTTAAGACACTCATCCTTGTTATCTGAGCACGGCTACCAAGTCTGGCCCCGTTAGCTTTTGAGAAGAGATTGAACACAGTTTCAAACATGGCGCCCGGGATCCAGGTTCGGGCTCAGCGACCATAAAAACCTATTTATAGATTGTCATCATGTCTCTATGACTTCATGGGTATATTTTAGCCTACCTTGATATGAGAGTTACGATACATATATAAGGACATCCCGAGTCCGTCTGTTAAATTTGGTCTCTCTAGCTCCAGAATTGTGCGAGGAGTTAGCTGCACACACGTATATACAAAGTTAAAAGCTGAATTATTGTAAGATAATCAGTCTACATTAACTCATAAAATACAGTTTAATTAAGTGCAAATTATAAGCCGTCCTGTGTATAATTAAAGTTTACGAGCGATTATAAAGTTGATGATGCGCATTGATTAAGTATTATTTTTAACATTAAGATTTTATTAGATCGGGTTACCTCCTTATAATAACAACTAAGATCGACTTTATAATATTTTTGCTTGTGAACCGAAATATTATTTGAACATTCTACACATTTCAAATCGATATTCTGATATTTGAATATGTTATATTTGCACACATACACAACACATCCAAGCACTACGACTTCTTCGTGTGTTAAACACGTTTGCACACTAAACGTTTATACTTTAAGTTTCCTTTCTATTTTACACTTTCTTTAGTTGCAGTTGAACTTGTTTTACATATAGACGCCATTTTTAATGTCCTTATAAACGTGGATGAAAAAGGAATGACTAAGAACACATTATCCTGAAATATATATATATTTTTTTCAAGCAGAAAAATCCTATGATGAATATTTCGTTACGGTTTCTTTCACATTTTGATCAATTTAATAAATTTTTGTTCGTAATTACTTCAAACGGGATTCTTATTTGAAATAAAAAATCCGCGTAAATTTACAAACATCGCAGAAATATATTACTATGAAAAATGTAAATCAGATTTTTATATTGATTGATATTTCAAATTACGCAATATCGTAAAGTACAACTGCATTAACAGTTTCATTTTCTAAAAAAAACATATCAAAGACATTAAAGTTTTTGATTATTTGTTTGGAATTAAGCACAAAGCTACACAATGAGCTATCTGTGCTCTGCCAACCACGGGTATCGAAATCCGGTTTCTAGCATTGTAAATCCGCAGACATACCGCTGTGCCACTGAGGGGGGGGGCGACATTGTTTGTTTGTTTTTTGAATTTCGCGCAAAACTACACGAGGGCTATCTGCACTA